TTGAAGGAGAAGTGCTGGAGGTAGTGGACGCGGGTGCGGCCCGCCTCGCGCAGGGCCGCATTGAACTCCTTGTGCAGGGGGGTGTTGGCCGTGTAGGCCAGGAGGGCCACCCCGTGCTCATCACGGAAGCCGGGGGGTGGTGGGGACATCGGGGTGTGGCTGAGGCCCCACTCTGGCCCCCAGGCTTTGCGCTCCTGCCATTGACTGCTGGCCAGCACCCAGCTGTCAGCGTACACTTTGTTGGCCTGGAACTCCGTGCGGTTGAGATCTGGGAGAGCAGCTGTCATGGCTGCTGCACAGCCAGCATACTGGTCATCGAAGGAGGTTGGGGCCATGTCCAGGGGCCTTTCTTGAGAGAAGAGTCCTCGTCGTGTGATGGGGTGGCTCTGAGGAAGAAGGAGCAGCAAGGACTGAGAGGATGGGCCCTAGGAGTATGGGGGCCTATCCAGCTTTCCCCTCCACCGAGCTGAGAAAGACACTATAAGGGCCCCAAACACACCTGGAGGGGGAGGGGGAGGGGAGAGGGTGGGGCTTGGGGCTGTCCCCTCGGGCCGCGTGAGTCCCGAGGGAAGCATCAGGCATTGTCTCCTCCCTCTGCTCCTCCTTTCAGAGTTCAGAAGAAGCTGCAGCTGGGCTCCCTGCTGGCATGGGGACAGCAGAGGATGACCATACCTGAAGTGCTTCCGTGAGGACTATGGACACAAGCAGCAGAGACATCGTAGCAGGAGTCTGCATGTTGGATGTGACCTTGGGTAAGTTACTGTCTCTTTTGGGGTCTCAGTTTCCTCATCTGGAAAATGGGAATGTTAACCTATACAGTTTAATAAACATTCATTGACATCTGGCACAGAGTCACAACATAGAACTGGAGGCTCAAAGGAGAGAGAGAGGACCCTTCTTGCTGGAAGCAACATGGGTCAGATACAGCTTGACCCGAATCGAACCTGGGACCCCTCGGTCCGCAGGCCGACGCTCTGTCCACTGTGCCAAACCGGTTAGGGCATTATTTCTTAATATTTTTTTTATTGATTTTTCACAGAGGAAGAGAAAGGGCTAGAGAGTTAGAAACATCAATCAGCTGCCTCCTGCATGCCCCTTACTAGAGAGGTGCTTGCAACCAAGGTACATGCCCTTGACCGAATCGAACCCAGGACCCTTCAGTCCGCAGGCTGATGCTCTATCCACTGAGCCAAACCAGCCAGGGCAGTGGTCAGCAAACTGCGGCTCGGCAAACCACGGCTCGCAAGCCACATGCGGCTCTTTGGCCCCTTGAGTGTGGCTCTTCCACAAAATACCGACT